CAGCAAATGCTGCTGTTGCTGCTGTTGCTGCTGCTGCTCTGTCTTGGGATCGTCTGGGGATCGACTCCATCCTTTGTTGAGCTTTTCGTATAAGGATATTTTTTGCTGCTGCTGCTGCTGCTGCTGGCGTTTCTGCTGCTGCTGCTGCTGCTGCTGCTGCTGGTGCTGGTGCTGCTGCTGGTGCAAGGGTCTGCTGCAGCTGCTGCTGCAGCTGCTGCATGCGCTGCAGCTCCTGCGGGCTTCTGTTTGTCTCTAAACCCAACTGAACAGCAACAGGCAGAGTAATGTACTCCGGCAGCTGTTTGTTTGTTTCTTCTGCTGCTGCTGCTGCTTGCTGCAGCGCGCTAACTATAGTAACACACTCTCTTTGTCTTCCTCTTTGACTTTGTACTGCTGCTGCTGCTGCTACTGCTGCTGCTGCTGCTGCTGCTGATGCACCACCACCCATACATTGAACTCCTCCTCCTCCTCCTCCTCCTCCTGCTGCTGCTGCTGCTGCAGCAGAAGCAACACGCTCTCCTAAAGATGCCCGCAGCACATGCAATCCCTCTTCTCTAGTTTGCTGCTGCTGCTGCTGTTCATATTCCTTTGCTGCTGCTGCTGCTGCTGCTCCTGCTGCTGCTGCTCCATTTAGAGGGCTCATGTTGCCGTAAGGCTCAAAGGAATTGAGGTGTCTAGACAGCTGCTGCTGCTGCTGCTGCTGCTGCTGCTGCTGCTGCTGCTCACTCACTCCTAGCTGTGTTCTAGCCGAATCCAGGATCTTTGCGGAGAGCCGAAGGGCCTCCGTCATCTGCTGCACTGCTGAGTTGCAGCAAGCCTGAAAAAAAAAACACAAAACCCTAAACCCTAAACCCTAAACCCTAAACCCTAAACCCTCGAGGGGGGTGATGCAGAGCAAGCATACACGCTGCAAGCGCCATCTATGACTTGGAAACACACACACACTGTCAACACATAAACCCTAAACCCTAAACCCTAAACCCTAAACCCTAAACCCTAGGGTTTGTGGTTTACCTGAAATTGACGCCTTGAGGCGGCTGCAGTGGTACTGGGTGTTGCCATGTTCGTTATGTTAAAAAAAGAGGAAAAAAAAGAGAAATAAATAAAACAAATTAATTAAATTAATTAAATTAATTAAAATAATTAAAAACGATATATTATTTATTTATTTTATTCATTTATTCATCGCCATTGAGCCTACATACACGCAGCAGCCCGCTGCTGCTTCGGTTGCTGCTGCTTCTCTTTCTCTCTATATTCTGCTCTCTTCTTTTTAGTTTTTTTATTTTCTCTACAAATTAAAATCTTAATTCTAGGGTTTAGGGTTTAGGGTTTAGCAAGTCTTTGTCTGGGCCCCGCCGCTGCAGCAGCAGCAGCAGCAGCAGCAGCAACACAGCAGCAGCAGCAGCAGCAGCAGCTGCTGCTGCTGCTGCTGCTGCTGTGCTGCTGCTGCTGCTGCACTTCCTACGTATTTATGCTGCTGATCTCAGACTTCCTGATCTGGGGCCCTCTAGCTTAGCTGTTACTAACATTGCAGCAGCAGAACAGCAGCAACAGCAGCAGCAGCAGCAGCAGCTGCTGCTGCTGCTGCTGCTGCTGAGTGTTACCGGTCCCTTCTTCTTCTTACAGGCCTACAAATCATAGCGGTTCCCGCAGCAGCAGCAGCAGCAGCAGCTGCTGCTGCTGCTGCTGCTGCTGCTGCTCAACCAGCTGCTGCAGCAGCTCTTCTGTTGGTATAGTGCAGCAGCAACCCGACAAATGTCTGCTGCAGCAGCAGCAGCAGCAGCTGCTGCTGCTGCTGCTGCGGACCTAAGCACCTTCAACCCAAGCAGCAGCAGCAACAACAACACCACCGC